CCCAGTCCTGTCCTGACCCACCTCCTGGTGCAACAGGTCTTTGCTGGTGCCTGTGGGGCTGCAAGAAGGCAGCTGAGGGAAGACCCTGGAAAATATGGGCTTTTCCTACCCCTGAAGCCAATCCCTGGAGACCTGTGTTTGCCCACTCCATGGGCACTGGGGGAAGCAGCCTGAGCTGCCCTGGGTGACAACCTCCCCACTCCCGGTCCCTGAAGTCCCCAGACATGTTCCCGTGCCCTTTGCAGCCCTACTCCTGGAGGGTTTGTCCACACTTCCCTGCTGCTGGAGCCAGTAGCCCCCCATGGCAATGCACTGGTCCAGCTGGCACCTGTCCTCTGGCTTCAGAGCAGAGATGGAGCCACAAGGAGCAGGTGGATCCTACACCGTCCTTGCTCTGCCCCACCAGGACCTGGTGGAGCTGTGGTCTCCTGGGCCAGTGCTGGTGAAAGGACCAGGAGATGGGGCTCCACACGTTGCCATCCTGATGGGCAGGGGGGCTGCTGAGCTCTGACCCTGAGCCAGGAGATGAGCCTGACACAAAGAGCAGAGCCAGCAAAAGGGAGCAAGAGAGGCAGGAAACATCAGGCAGGAGAGGAAACGTGGAGATCATCAGCTGCAGGAGCACAAACACCCGGAGCTCGTGCAGGGGAAAAGCTGACACCACTTGGCAAGTGTTGGAGCAGGGAGACCTGCCCATCTGGCCACTCACTGGGGCTTCTGGAGGAACACATAGCCTAGAGCACCTCAGGGTGCTTAGGCATCCCTGGCCTTCAAGCTATCAGCCCTGGCAGCTCAGCGTGGGCTTCCTGGGATGAGCCCTGTCCTGGAGGCTGGAAGGCTGAGGAACAGCTGGTCTGGTGGTGATGGTGAAGCACCCACCACGGGCAAGTCCCACTTGTAGAGGTCCAAGCTGGGTCATCCTGTCCCAGGCTTGAAAAATGGGATCAAGTGACCTGCTGCCACGTGGCTCTGCATGGCAAGCAGCTGCTGTCCTGGCACCTGAAGGAAAGGCCACTGCACCTGGTGTCCTACAGGTTGGTGCTCAAGGTCCTTCAATGTCTGGCAGCCCCTCGAGGTTTGGTGTCATCCCCAGCAGCTGGGCTGGACTTCACTTGCAGAGCTTCCTGGTCCTCCTCCCACCAGCTCTGGCTCAAAGGGCTGGCCACATCCCAGGTGACCTGCCCACCTGTGATGTCCCAGCTCCCAGGGGACCAGAGATGCTCACAGATTTATCAGCCTCTCAGCCAAAACCCTCCTGCCACAGGTGGTGGGGCAACCATCCTGTGTCACCAGCTCAAGCTGATGGAGCTTGTCCCAGCTTTCAGCATTCCCATTTCCCCCCAGGCTCCCAGGGGAGCAGATGCATCCATCCCCTGGGGCTGGCAATGGCCATGGGGGGGCCACGAGCTGCCTACAAGCAGAGGTGGGATCCCTGGCATAGCTGATCTCCCAGGAACCAGAACCTGGCATGGGGCAGAAGGGAGAAACATGGAGATGTGCACAGAACCAACCCACGGTGACTGGTCAGGCTGGTGTGGAGCAACTGGAGCAGGAGAACCTCTGCAAGGGGCAGGGAAGGTGCTGGGTGGAGGCTTGGCCACGTGTCAGAGCCAGCTCCTGTCCCTCAGCCTTCCCTCATGAGGGGTTTCTCTCCCCGTGCTGCCATCACAGCCCTGGAAAATGCCTGAGGAGGGACATGGGTGACCACAGACCTGAGCTGGGAAAGCAAAGAGCACCCCTGAACTTCACCAGGGCATCTTGCCTCTCCTCTTGTCCCTGGGCTGCTTGGGACCCCCAGGGATCCAAAGGTCCAAGCCCACAAGCTCTGTCAGCTCCCACCTCCAGCCACAGGCACTGTCCCCAAGGCCAGGCTGGCACACCCAGGCTGCAGCTGCTCCCTTCTGTCTCCTTTCCCACCCTCTCCAAAGTCTTGGCTACCAAAATGCCACTGGCTTGGGAGGACCTGGATCTTGTCCCTGGGCTGCTTGGGACCCCCAGGGATCCAAAGGTCCAAGCCCACAAGCTCTGTCAGCTCCCACCTCCAGCCACAGGCACTGTCCCCAAGGCCAGGCTGGCACACCCAGGCTGCAGCTGCTCCCTTCTGTCTCCTTTCCCACCCTCTCCAAAGTCTTGGCTACCAAAATGCCACTGGCTTGGGAGGACCTGGAGCTGGAGAGGAAAAAAACCTCCCTGTTGCCTGTGACTCACAGGCTGGTTGGGGACACAGCTCTGCTCAGCAGGGCAGGTCCCAGCCCAGCAGCCTTGCCTGGGGTGAAGCCTGGGGGGGGGACACTGCAGCATTTGTCCTCCTGGTTGGGAAATGAGGGGGCTCCTGTACTCCAGAGATGGCCAGATGTGCTTCAGCTGATCCTCCAGGTGAGCAGGAGGTGGTGGTGGCCTCTGAGGGAAGGAGCAGTGGGTTTGTCTCTCCTGCAAGGTTGCTCTGCCCACCTGAGATGAGGCAGGGTTTGAAGGAGCCTCAGCTCCTTTTCCCCATAGCCCCCCTAAAGAGAAACTCCTTCCAGAAGTGGCTGAACCCTCCTGGGCAACCCCAGCACCACCCCAAAGTCCTTTCCTTTGGGAATGTTCCCACCTCCTGGGCAAATTGATGCAGCCCAGAGCTGCCTGACCCACCCAGAAGCCCCAAGGTCCTCAGCCTCCCCACCCTGCTGAGGTGCCATTCCCATGCTGAGCCCCCCCCAGGACTGGGGTTCCCCCACCCAGGGGTGGGATGGCAGGACTGGGCTGTGGTGCTACTGGCCTTCCCAGTCCAGCCCTTAGGGCTGATCCCAAGGACACCACATCCAGCACAAAGTCCAACTCCAGGTGAGGACAGAGGGTCTCTCAGGGGGGACATTGCAGCTGGGAGAAGACACAAGTACTAACTGACTGTATTTATTAGTGACATGAAGGTGGGGGGGGGGGATCCCAGTCTGCTCCACATGCCTTTGCAGACAACGGAGGGCTGAGCATCCTGGTGCTCCAGGGCACCCAGAGCATCCCCTGGCACGGTGGGGTCCCTCACAGGGACACGGGGTGGTCACCAAGGAATAGCTTTACCTTCCCAGTTGAGCAGGGTCCCATTGTGCTTCTCAGAGAGGATGGGCAGGACAGAGAGCAGCCCCCGCACGCTGGTGTCCCCCGTCAGCTCAGCCTGCAATGGGCACGAGTGAGGAGCAGGACTGGGATCCCACCAGCATTCCCAGCCACCCACCAGCATTCCCAGGATCCCACCAGCACCTGCCCAGCTCGTGCACCTCAGCTCCTTCCACCCAGGTGGAGCAGAGAGCCACAGGAGGTGGGACGGGGCTGCAGCTGGGAGGATGGCTGGGGATCCACGTGCTCGTGGATGGCTTGGGCAGAGGTGGCTTGTGCTGGGAAGCCAGAGATAGGCTTAAACCCATGGGACATGGAAGAGATAGGATGAGGGGAATGGTTTTAAGGTGAAAGAGGAGAGATTTAGGTTGGACATGAGGAGGAAA